ACTTGTCTTATTCACCCATTCATTCCTCTGCTTACCCACTGAGCTAAAGTGGCACCTAGTTTATGTCTTTTCCAACACACTTACAGCTTACATGTTTCTTACTGGTCAGTTTTCCTGTTTTTTTTCTGACAACCATTAAACTGAAAACAAACTCTGTTTCCAAAAACTGTTATGGAAGTTCAAAACAGGTCATAAACTATAACCTTTTATTAATAAGATTATTTTAAAGTTTACATCGAATGCTAAAACTGAGAAATTATCTTTATTTTTTAAAAAAGTAACCAAAGAGATAACTGATCAAGTTCTTATAATTCTTTTTCTTCTTTGTTTTTAATGGCTGCTCTATTCTTTATTTACAGAGCTCCATGACGATTGTTAGTACGCACAGATAAAAAGCTAGCAACCTATAATGGTGTAGTAATTTACATATCTCATTAATGCATTTGTCTATAGAGTCTATGTTATTCATTATTGATGAATGATGTGCAGAAAGGTTTCGTGTAATGGTTTCCAGACTTATCGCAGATTGAATCAGCAGTTTTACTAAATTCCTGGTTTTTCCATCAGTTCCTGCCAGTAAGTGTCTCTTTACATACAAGGAGATAACTGGACTCCATTAGGTTTGTGAAGATGTTTCACCTCTGAGGCTTCTTCAGGTCATGTGATGGGGGCAGTATTTCCAACCTAAAATGAAGGTGAAATGAAGGGGTTGTTTAAAAAAGTGGTTATGCAACACAATGGGAAACTGTTGCTGTCATTAATTAAACATTTTAAATGAATATTTATTTTCTTACAAAAGAGTTTCAATATTTGAATCGTTGTCTTTCTGCTATTTATAGTTACACAAAGGTTTTAATTGAATACTGTATTATTTAATTTACATTTTTAAACTGAATCACAATATTTTTGTAAACAGGGTTATATGATTTATAGTTAAATTTGCTATGGTTTACCTTGTGCTGTGTAGAACAATGCAATAGCATGTATCTGCTCAGTGATGCACTTTTTTGTTTGTAAACCTTAATTCTTCACTTTTGAATAATAGATTAAATCACTCTGTTCCAGTTCAGCTTGTAAGCTGCATCCTATACATTACTTATGTTTTCATTTGTTTTCCAAACACAGCCTAATATGTACTGAATCAGGACAGACAGTGTAAGCTTTGTCTTTACAAAGTGGATATTTACAAATGGTATGAAACATAGTTGTTCTGAATTGGACGCAGTGAAGCAGACATCTCTGACTTCTGTTGGAAACATGTGACCATCAGTTTTAGGTTTCTTCATGTTTTTGATTAAAATATGTATTTATGATTTATTTCATTCCATTTCCACTAAATGAACATTTATTTAAAACTTGCCTTCTTGCTGTTTTCTTGTCTGTTATCTGTAACATACATTAATTACAGTTCAATTGTGTGTGGATCACAGTGTGTACAGTGATTTCTTTTTGCAAATGAACACAGTGTCATAATTCATTGTCTGCTTTTTATTACCATTAAATGCACTGTAATTGAAGGAAGGATTTAAACATGCATTTAAACTCTGCAACCATCAGTACATTCCTGATTACAGGAGGACAGACTGTTTTCACTCTTATACATTTTACACATCTCAGTAGGTTAATCAAAAACATTACTGAATTAACAACTGTGAGGGGTTGCCCTAATTTCAATTAATGATGTACATTAAAGTCATGTGTGGCATGGTGTGAGTAAAGACGGTCAGCTGCAGGTAGAGGAGTGGAGCAGCGGGTTCAGCCTTTGGAAACTCTGGCCAGTATGCTTCTGGAGCCACTATGCATCAGGATCAGACAGCAGTGCATCACCAGCAGCTTGACTGGCTGTAGGACCAGGCCGAGTGCTTGTCACACTTGGTCACACTTTTCTTGCCAGCTCGGCTGTCAATCCCCCCAGTCCCACTTGTTATGCCTTCGTGGAGGACATGGTTGAAGCATGCCAGTGGCCGGCTGAGGAGCGGTCCTTGGGAGGCCCAGATGGTGGCCCTCAACTTTGCAATGGTGAGGTTTGTCATGTTTAGTTTTTCCCGAAGGGAGTACAGAAGAAAATACCTGTCGTTGAAAAAAAAGATTTAATTTGCTTCTGCAGTTGAAATTACAAGTTACAGCCTTGGATCTCTCTGTTAAATTAGCCGTCTGTCTTCACACAAAAGGATGAGCCTGAAACGGGGCCCACAGTTTTATACCCCAACAATAACAAATTTTATTATGACTATCTTCTTCTGGCAGCATTGTGGCAGTCCCGTTGTCTCCCTTCGAGTCTCCTCTCTGCTCAGGTTCAACCTCGTATCTGCTCCTTTTCCTGGAATGACAGAGACAGAAAAACACCTCCCTGCCTCGATAATTAATTCTGATTCTATTAATTATTTAATTTCTGGACATTTTGTTCGGAGTTCTTTGGTCCACAAAATAGCCTGACTTTTATGTGGTGTGATGTGTATACATGCTACAAAAAGACCCTCTGCGCTCTACATCAGTCTCAATATTTCAATTCAGTCATAGCACTGAATGAAGTTTCTGACCTTCAAAATCATGCAGCACCAACCCATAATGAGCATATGTGATGTGTATATGAAAATCATAAAAAAAAAAACATCTTTATTTAATCATTTTAATCCTAACAGGGTCTGCTTTAAAGATGTCCCTTGGTTGATACTTGACCAACTGGAACTCACACTGGAGGACCAGTGGCAGGTCAGCCAGTCCCAACTCTAGGGAGGCAGCTCTGGGTCTGTGTCATTGCAGGTCCCAGTGGCTATGGACAATGCACTCCACTCACTGCAAGCCACACAAGCAATGGGGATGGAGTGCTGGAGATGTGAACGACTAGGACACGTCAGTCGAGAGTCCCGTGGATGGAGGCGGGATAGGTAATGTGGACTCGGGCTGCACGCTGACTCTGGTCCACCATACCATTTATCCTGTTTTCCTTCTCTCACCCCAACTGGTCGCAGCAGATGGCTGCGCCCCTCCCTGAGCCTGGTTCTGCTGGAGGTTTCTTCCTGTTAAAAGGGAGTTTTTCCTTCCCACTGTCACCAAAGTGCTTGCTCATAGGGGGTCATATGATTGCTGTTTTTTTCTCTGTGTCTATTATTGTACGATCTACTGTACAATATAAAGCACCTTGAGGCGACTGTTGTTGTGATTTGGCGCTATATAAATAAAATTGAATTGAATTGAATGGGTGAGTGTGAGATCATTTCACATTTGCCATTTCTTTCTTTATTTTTCTTGGGATTTGGTATCTTTGAAAGAGTTTATCTCTGTATGTGTGCAAATGTATGTGGATTCATTTAATCCTGCAATCCTGAGCTTTAAGGTTGGATCGAGCTCAACGCAGGCACACCGAATGGGCCACGCATGATCAGGAAACATGTGGAAACATTTCTGTGTTTGGATTGCTTGGAATTTTGTTCTGGTGGTTTCTTTGGCAGTTTCTATCTCTGTATGTGTGGAAATCTTTGTGCATTCCTGTGTTCCTGCTTTGAGATCTAAGGTTGGCTGAATTGGTTGATTTCTGTGGATAATCACATTTGTGCACAAACATTTCTGTGCTTAGATTTTTAGGAATTTTGGATTGGTAATCAGTTTACTAATCCAGATGTGTACAGAAGTATGTGCATTCATGTGTACATGTGTGGAGATCTGAGGCTGGTTTCTAGGGTGGACCTCTGCACATAATCATATGTGTGTGCAAACATTTCTGTGTTTGGATTGGTTGAAAATTGGGTCTGTTGGTTTCTTTGTTAGCAGTTATCTCTGGTTGTGTGCAAGTGTGTGCATGCGTTATTTCATTATTTAATTAATTAATTAAATTCATTTTGCACTCGTGGCTCTCCTTAGCCTGGTTTCCCCTTTTGGCAATAACCTTTCTGGCTTTGGAGAAAACCCTTTCACGTGGTACTGAAGAGGCTTAAGTGCACAAGTACCCTACAGTAGGCTTATGTTAGGCGTCATCACCGACGTCACTCACCCATAAAAGAGCAAGCCAACACACGATTCGTGAAATACTTCCTGGACTTCTCAACACACCCTCCGAAACCTTCCCTTTATTTTCAGCACTTATCATTTTTATGTCAAGTACGCATTTTTAACGCAGCATTTTTATTATTAATATTATTGTTATTATTATCATTATTGTTGTTGTTTTTTTACAGTTTCAGTTAAAATCGCTGTTAGGCTAAATTAATGTTTTATTCTGAAATTCGGCCCGGAAGTCCGTTCGCCTGTGGCAAAGTGAAAATCATCGGGGTCTTGGGAGAGAGGGCTGCTTTGCTAAGGTATGTGTTACTGCGTTTGACTTGCATGTTACTAGTATGTTATGTGTGTGTTTAACGTGAACGGCGATCTTCGGCACTGTGAAAATCCGCCTCCGCGTTTTGAGGTTTGAGTTGGTTTCTCGTCCCTCTCGAACGTGAGCTGAGGTACGACACCCAGGTGTTGACGAGCTTTTTGGAAACAAATGTGCTAATTAGCAGTCTAAGACTTGTCCTTGGTTACAAAGCCTTTCCTGCTGCTGTTGTCTAACAAAATGGTGTCTGTCTAACAGGAACACCGGGCTCGGTCTCTTTCACGGGCAAGTTTTATCCCGGTGTGCGGAACTGGGTGGTGCGTTTCAGCGAACGTCATGTTAGACTTTTCACACCAGGACCTTTTTTTTTTTTTTATAAACATGGCTGTTCAAGTCCTTTGCCAGGAAGTATACATCTGGTATCATCAGCATGGGCCAGAGAGAAACTGTGGGTACGCTGGGAAAGGAAGTCCAATAACGCTTAATGTCGGTAAGACGTTAGCCAAGCAAGTATTCACATCATTTATATGTGTAAGCCGTTTCACATAAGTATTAATGCCAAAGTTTCACTTTTAAGCTTTTAAAGTTCAAAAGTAGTTTTGTAACATTTTAGTTTAAGAAAAAGTGTTAAAATACTCAATGCAGAAGAATTTCCCATGTTAACGTTACAGTGGGGGAATAATTATTTGCTCTTCTGCTGAATTTGTTTGTTCACTTACCAAAAAAAGAACAGTCTCAAATTTTTATGGTAGTTTCATTGATATTCTCTTTCTCTATTAAAATGAAACACACGCACATTACATAAAAGTCGGAATTTATTTGCAGGTCATTAAGTCAGATGAGTATTTGAGCCCCTGTAACAAAGCCAGAATACAATCAAATGAATCAATTAGATACTTCTGTTCTCAACTTGTTTTGTGCATTAAGCACACATAACAAGATCCCACAGAATCAGTTTCTTTCATTCCTACATCTCCACCACCGTGGGAAACACCAAAGGACCTCGTGGATAAGATTGTAGACTGGCACAAGGCTGGACTGGGCTACAAGACCATCAGCAAGAAGCTTGTCAATCACCTGAAGGAAGCTGGAGCCACAGTTAACAAAACATACCTGGTAATCCACTATGCAATAACGGATTGAAACACCCACAAGGTCCCCTTAATCAAGAACATGTATAGGCCTGTCTGAACTTTGAAAGTGAACATCTTAATGATTCACAGGAGGCCTGAGGAAAACTGCTGAAGTTGCATGAAACCAGAATCAAGCTCTTTGGGGAACACCATCCCCATACTCGAGCACAGAGATGGACACACTGTACTTCTACTGTACTGCACACATTGTGATTGGTACATGGTGAAAATTATATTAGGGTAATTTACTGGTTCACTCTGGGCTGTTTTATTGGGACTGACAAAGAGCCACAGATGAGCAGCTGGCATATTCTTATTTTTTGACCTAAGCATTCGTGTTGCATCTCAATTACATCAAGGGGACGCTGGGACGCGTTGCTATGATAATGACCATCCACATCAGATGGTACTAGATTTTAATGGACAAGCAGTCAATCCAAGTAGGTACTAATGGAAAAGGGCTTTGGTTGAGGTTTGTGCTCTTGGAGTGCTTATTGTTTATTGCATGTGGCTGCCTAGACACTGTGGATGATTCTTCTGATATGACCCAAAACATACTGCCCAGGCAACAAAGGAGTGGCTAAAGAAGCGCATTAAGGTCCCCGGCTGTCCTACCCAGACTCCAGACCTCAATTCTATAAAAATCTGTGAGACGAGTTGAAGCCTGAGAAAGAAACCTTTAGAGTTTCTATAAAGAAGAGTTGACCAGAATCCCTCCTGGGATGTGTGCAACCCTGATGGCCAACTATAAGAAACATCTGTCAGCTGTGCTTACCAACAAGGGTTTCTCCACCAACAACAAAGTCATGTTTTGTTCATTCCCCGATTGTGTACTGCTGGAAGCTGAGGTGGAGCTTTTTCTTCAGTCTGTGGCTGTTTTCATCATCTGATTCTTCTATTTTTTTATGTGTCACTTTATTAAACGATTGCTTATTGATGAAATTATTTGTGTACACAGATCATGGATCTCCTCAGCAGTTTGGAAATCTACATCCCTGCGGAGGCTGAGGTGAAAAACATCCCTTTGTCGACCTTGCCAAAGTCTGTACTCAGAAGAATGGGCCTCCCTCTACTGAATGCCTCCAGGAATCTTGCAGACTCTCCAGAAGGCATATGGATTTCTCCAGCAGTTATACGAAAGAAAGGCCAGAGACACACAGGAAGTGCAATAGATAACATGACCTCAGTGCTGGGCAAAGAGTTGCGCACTTCAAGGGGTCCTTTTCGAATGTCGTTTGTTTCCTCAAACCGTGCAGCTCATGAGGTGCTGAAGGGCACCGTTCCCAAGGCACCTCTGTGTCAAACCTCTCAATTCCCTTCGGACTCTGCCCCGCGAACCGGTCGAGATGCTGTCGTCATCTACCGTGGGCAAGTTTACTTGTCCATCAGAATGCCTAGTCGTAGCCATAGTCAGCGTGGGAAACAGATGACTTCTCAGCCTGTCACTCCTTCAACGTCCCACTTGTCTTCAAAGAAAAGGAAAAAGGTAACACAACTTTCTTTCTGCTAAAACGACCAGTTTAAAAAAAGTCTAGCGGAGGTCATATTTACACAGAGCGGTCTGTTGCTGTTCCAGAAGGGAGAATGATTAAATTCAATTTAACACAGTTATATATCATTGAAAAGAATCATAATGAATATATTTATGTTACTATTAACCTAAAACACACAAATGCTCTCCATTCTTTTCTCTTTTCACATAGTTTAGCCTGATCACTCGGTGTAAACTCTTGATTATTGGTCTCAGCCTTTATCTGAAACCAACCTGACATCATGTAACAGAAACATGGTCCAGCGCATGCAGAAATTATATTGCTGCACGCCGCAGGAATATAACAGCACAAGGTCATGTTATATTTAAATCCACAAACTCTGTATTAAACAGAAAATGTAAGAAGTAGAAATGATTAAGTTAGCTTTGGAGAGACAAAGTGTGACATGGACACAGTGGACTGGTATCTCTGTTACATGCCTTGCTGTGATATCAAGTTGCTGAAAGGGGTTGATTTCAGCCAGGAACCGACATCTGGTGAGAATTTTATGTTCAATACACAGAGACAGACAACAATTCACACCTGTGGGAATTTACATTTAACCTGACCCCACTAACTACATGTCTTTGGACTGTGGGAGGAAGCCGGGGTACCCGGGGAGAACATGCAAACTCAACACAGGAAGGACCCGGCCAGGGGGTGAAATCCAACTAGGCACCCTCTTGCTTTGAGGCAGCAGTGCTAATCTTACTTAGCACTTAGTTCCTCCTACACCAAGTGGCGCATCGGGCAGCTAATGATCTCTATCGACGTTGGTCAGCAGCAACTGCTACATCTTCATCTCAGTGATGTCGATGGTTTTCAGATCATCCATAAACATTCGACGCCATGTGATTAGCACTGCTTTGACAGTGCTAATCACCACAAATAATAATTGTTATTATTATTAATTTACAGAATATAAAGTTCAAGCTTATCTCTAGTATCAAGATGCAAATAGACATGCATGTATTAGGAGGCCCCTACAAATGTAAAGCTACATGCTGCTGCCTGTAATCAACCTATTTGACTAACAATTGAGCCTTAGGGTTCACCAAAAGTATATTTCATAATATGCTTTTGGTGGGTTTTTTGGAATTCATGAGATTCCACAAAAAACTGAACTAAATGACAGAATAGCATCTCCTATAAGCCTCTGGATTATGTTTATGTTCATTTGTATTTTAGTGCTAGAATGCTATTTTAAACTCTAATTCTGTGACTTTTTTTGTACAACCTTTAGACGATGCTAAGCGACAACAAGCCCAAGAAAAAGCACAACATATGTAAAGTAATGCATACAGAAAACAAGAAGGATGACGCACACAGGACAAGAGATGTTCACTTTCTGCCGAAACCCACTGAGAGTGAGTGTGAAGTGGGCAGCCAGTGTCCTGCAGATTCGAGAGGAGAGCTGCTCTCAGAGGCCCCCCTGAAAACAGCTTGCTTTCAGCCTCACAGGGAGCCAGAGGAGGATCTGGCTGCCGAGGAAGCAGACGGCCCCCGTGAGAACAATGACAGAGGTGGTAGTCTACAGATGGACATCAGGGAAGTTGACCAAAGTAGCAGGGGCAGGGTGGAGCCCCTGGGTGCAGCTGCCGCCTCCACATCACTGCAGATGGACTGTGACTTTAACGAGTTGGCACAGGAGGAGAAGATTGCTCAAATGAGAGCCAAACTTAGACAGAGCGAAGCTGCTCTAAACTTGCTTTCTTAAAGTGACCTCACATTTGATAGCCTTTTTGTACTGAATGTTTAGAATAGACTTTTATACATTTGTCTTCTGTGAACACATGCACATTAATAAAAGTGGTATCGATGGGCTTATGTGTTTGGTGATCCTTTTTGTTTTATTTAGGCGTCCAAAAACAAAGAGATGTTGTACTAGTGTGGTGTTCTCTTCTCATTAGGTGCAGTTTATAGCAACGTCTTCAATGTTTGGATGTTTTTGATGTGTTAGTTCTGGTCAAAAATCATTTCCTTTTGATAAAACCTCAATCCATAACAGCGTATGGTTTGATTATTTCAAGCTGTAGTTTGGTAAGGTCCCATTTACAAAGTGAACCAAATGGTTCTTTGTTAAAATACTTATTTTTTCCAGAATATATGATGCGTTTTTTCCTGGCTCAGTAACTAAGACTGTTTTTGTCTTTCTTTCTTTTTCTTTTTTTTCTTTTTTTTGTAATCAAGCATACTAAATCTACACTTTTGCTTTTGTTTAGTATGATAGTTTCCCTGATCACCTTGAAACACCTCCACAGGTCATGAGTTGGTCTTATGTCTGTTGGAAGTGCTCCAAACCATAAACAATAAATATGACTAATCTTTGTGCATACGTTTCATAATGTGACTTTTAATACTAAGACCTGTGAAAAATCATTGTTATTATTATTGTTATTTGGTGACCTAGTGCTGAAATGGTTGTGGCGTGATTGTTATCCTTTCTACTCTGCTTTCTCACTCCTTAAATTATTTTTCATATGCAGGTCTTACACTCTGGGCCTGACAGTGTGGAACAAGAAAGTCAGGACTTGTGACATAGTGACTGTGCTCACACTCACCTCTCTGCTTTGGTCCCTGAATGATTCAAAATGTTTAGCATGAACTCATCTAGTGTTAAAGGTTTTCATTTCTCTGTGTTTGAAATTCATTTCTATAGATGTATTTCTGTTTGGAAAATATGTTTGCAATAAAAGCATTCTGTATGGGGCTTTGACTTTTTGTTTTAAAGAAGCATCTCACCACACCAAAGGGTCACAGTGTATACTGTAACCAGGGTTGGAATCAGAGTTCAGAATATTGTAACTGAAGGAAAAAATTGTAAGTTTAAAAAAAGTGAGGTTTGTTGTATTAGTGTGAGTTATTGGATTATCCCAGAAAGTTGATTCTGTTCATCTGGACGTTCTCATTAGGAGAAATGTTTCCTCATCAGCTGACTGCAGGTTTCCAACCGTATAAACAGGACATTTGCACACTGACTGAAACTAACACCGCTGATTTACAGTGGACCGTGAGGTCAGTTTCATGATCATTAATATGGAAATTGATCAAAGGCCACTGATCAGTGGTCATGAGTACCATTCACAGAGAGTTGTGGATTGGCTGCAATCACAGCATTGTAAGATGGTGACAGATGTACCCTTAGGCCCCCTCCTCCATTTAGAGATGGTCTTTCCTTTTCACGCTCAAACCAGCGTTCTTCCCTGTCCAGGATGTGTACATCCTCATCATTGAAAGAGTGTCCACTGGCCTGTAGGTGTAAATAGACTGCAGAGTCCTGGCCTGACGAGGTACAGTCAGGTCCATAAATATTGGGACATCGACACAATTCTAACATTTTTGGCTGTATACACCACAATGGATTGCAAATGAAACAAACAAGATGTGCTTTAACTGCAGACTGTCAGCTTTTATTTGAGGGTATTTACATCCAAATCAGGTGAACGGTGTAGGAATTACAACAGATTGCAAATGTGCCTCCCACTTTTTAAGGGACCAAAAGTAATGGGACAGAATAAAAAACATAAATCAAACATACATTTTTTAATACTTGGTTGCAAATCCTTTGCAGTCAATCACAGCCTGAAGTCTGGAACACAGACATCACCAGATGCCGGGTTTCAACCCTGGTGATGCTCTGCCAGGCCTCTACTGCAACAGTCTTCAGTTCCTGCTTGTTCTTGGGGCATTTTCCCTTCAGTCTTGTCTTCAGCAAGTGAAATGCATGCTCAATCGGATTCAGGTCAGGTGATTGACTTGGCCATTGCAAAACAGTCCACTTCTTTCCCTTCAAAGACTCTTTGGTTTCTTTTGCAGTATGCTTTGGGTCGTTGCCCATCTGCACTGTGAAGCGCCTTCCAATGAGTTTTGAAGCATTTGTCTGAATATGAGCAGATAATATTGCCCGAAACACTTCAGAATTCACTGTGCTGCTTTTTGTCAGCAGTCACATCATCAATAAATACAAGAGAACCAGTTCCACTGGCAGCCATACATGCCCACGCCATGACACTTCCACCACAATGCTTCACTGATGAGGTGGTATGCTTAGGATCATGAGCAGTTCCTTTCCTTCTCCATAATCTTCTCTTCCCATCACTCTGGTACAAGTTGATCTTGGTCTTGTCTGTCCATAGGATGTTGTTCCAGATCTGCGATGGCTTTTTTTAGATGTTGTTTGGCAAACTCTAATCTGGCCTGCCTGTTTTGGGGGCTCACCAAAGGTTTACATCTTGTGGTGAACCCTCTATATTCACACTGGTGGAGTCTTCTCTTGATTGTTGACGTTGACACACATGCACCTCTTGGAGAGTGTTCTTGATCTGGCCAACTGTTGTGAAGGGTGTTTTCTTCACCAGGGAAAGGATTCTTCGGTCATCCACAACAGTTGTTTTCCGTGGTCTTCCGGGTCTTTTGGTGTTGCTGAGCTCACCAGTGCGTTCCTTCTTTTTGAGAATGTTCCAAACAGTTGTTTTGGCCACGCCTAATGTTTTTGCTATCTCTCTGATGGGTTTGTTTTGTTTTTTCAGCCTAATGATGGCTTGCTTCACTGATAGTGACAGCTCTTTGGCTCTCATCCTGGCAGTTAACAGCAACAGGTTCCAAATGCAAACAGCACACTTGAAATTAACTCTGGACCTTTTATTTGTTCATTGTAATTGGGGTAATGAGGAAATAACACACACCTGGCCATGGAACAGCTGAGAAGCCAATTGTCCCATTACTTTTGGTCCCTTAAGAAGTAGGAGGCACATATACAAACTGTCGTAATTCCTACACCGTTCACCTTATTTGGATGTAAATACCCTCAAATAAAAGCTGACAGTCTGCAGTTAAAGCACGTCTTGTTTGTTTCATTTGCAATCCCTTGTGGTGGTGTATAGAGCCAAAAATGTTAGAATTGTGTCGATGTCCCAATATTTATGGACCTGACTGTAGCTCTTCTGTGTTGTGCCATCCTCTTAGCCAGAGATTGTTTGGTTTCTCTGATGTATAAATCCTGGCAATCCTCCTGGCACTTAACAGCGTACACTATATTACTGCATATTATATCATTTAGTACTGAGGTTGGGGTTGTTTCAATGCTCATGCTTCAATACTGTATGGATACAATACCCATAGTCCACCAATACACTGCTCATAACTAGATGAGCATAGACACATACACAGAAACTATCGTGAGTACAAACCTCAGTGCAGACGTCTGCACATACAGTCATGTCGGAGGAGGATGTAAAGTTTTCAGTTATGTTTAAGTTTTAGACTGTGTTTTTTCAACTTCAGTAATGTCAGCTGAGGCAGATGTGCCTGCTGCATCAGAAGAAGCTCCCAAATACTTCAGTAATGGTCCTGATAGGTTTATACATTAGATTATTATTTGTAAATATGGGCTTGAAGAAATTACAGAGGTATATTGCACACATCAGGTCTATACATGAATCACACAAAAAATGCAATTTTTTAAACTTTTTCAAATGAGCTTGTTCTAATCAAAAATACATAAATGAAATAATAAATTAATTACTTTCCAGCCAATGCTTGCCAAGTGCTTTCTTTGCCCACACCTCCTTCACCCCAGCCACTTCCTCCAGCTTGTCAGGCCAGCCGAGAGATATAATCTCTCCAGTGTGTCCTGGGTCTGCCCCAGGGTCTCCTCCCGGTGGGACATGCCCACTTTCTATGCCCATATTCAATTTAATTTGTTCAAAATGAAAATCCAACAGTAAGTTGCAATACAACAACAACAAACACAAAAAACTGGTAAGTAGCTAACAACCAGAACTAACCATACAGTCAAAGGTGTTATTTGGTTAATAATTATGTTTACAATGCATCTTGGGTTGACTAACAAGCTGATATTTAAACAAGCATGTCCTCAGAAAAAATGATTTAGACTCATCAATGATGAGCCGTTATCTAAATCTATTGTGTGTAGCCAGCAGGTCAAGTTAAGAACACTGATGTAAGAAATTCAACTGTCAAATTTATTCAGGTTTATTCATTCAGGTTCAGGTTTATTCATTTATATAGCACATTTACAAACAACAGGGTTGATCAAAGTGCAAAACAATCAGCAAAAAAAACAGCAAGAGATTAAAAGTTAACAAACAAACAACAAACACACCAACAAACATCAAAGGTGACAGACATAAAACAGGCCTGATGATAGTTAAAACTAATTTGATCCAAAAGCCAAAGTAAACAAAATGAGTTTTAAGACTAAGAAATAAGATTTATAAGAAGGTATAGACTCAGAAGTGCAAAATAGAAGTGGGGAGACTATTCCAGAGTTTAGGTGCTGCAGTTGCAAAGGCCCGATCACCTCTGGACTTTAGCCGGGATCTAGGTTGTTCTAAGAGCATCTGGCAAGATTATCTTAGTGCCTTCCTGGGGTTATACAAGCGGAGGAGTTTGGCACCCAGTTGTTTAAAATTTTAAAAGTAAATCTATACGGTGTTTGACAGGGAGCCTGTGCAAATTAGCTAGAACTGGGGTGATATGATCATACTTTCTAGTACCTGTCAGAAAGCGTGCAGCAGCATTTTGAACTAACTGCAAGCGGTAGAGGGAGGATTGTTGGAGTTGTTGTACGTGCTTCGGGGTTTGTACGTGTTTTGAAGTT